CCGTTTCTATATGCTGGACCTCGGACTGGTCTGGATCAGGCCCACAGACTGGCCCTGCATGCTGGATCCAGTACTCAGGACTAGTCCAGCCTGGGCACTGCATGCAGCACATGCCCTGGACTGGCCCTGTGCTCTGTAAATGACGCGCACCCTGGACTGGGGCTGAGGTGTGCTGCATATGGAGCATGGGACAGGAGCCAATGTGCACACACTGTACAGCACACATGGGACCAGTCCTGGATGCACACTACATGGTGGTGCCTGTGCTAAACCAGGCCTCTGTTTTAGATCTGGCACATGCAGCTGGTCTCTGGGCCCAATCTGACTGGTGGTCCAGCAAGCTGAATGAGTTGATACCTGTGATCTACTTGCTTGTTCTGAAGGAGAAAAAGGTGAAGAACTAACACTGAGAGTTGTCTAAGGGTAACGCTAGCATGGTAAATGTTATAGTAATTGCTGCTTGTCATGTTTTTGAAGCAGGCCCCTAACTTCCTCTTCACTCTTGTAGGCTAAGCACAGACAATCAAAAAACCTGAGGCTGAATCAATTCAATCTTCGCAGGTTAGTTTAAGCTGCATAGATTGAACTGTAAGCAAGTGAACAGACATTTGCTTTTGATTCTGGAAATGCAGCCACATGCCTGCAGTGTTTCCAGGCCATAAACTGGGGCATACTAGAGCATGCCTCCCTGCTCAGCTGGAGCAGACAGCTTGGGCCAAGGCTAACCTGCCCATTCTGCGAGGAGGGTTTTGCAGGAGAGGTGCAAAGTATCCTGGGATGCTAGGGGGCTGTGAGTTAATTTGAATCTGGAGGAGATCTGGGACAGAAGTTCAATAGACCAATTTAACCTAAATCAGTTAAGTTTAACTGATCCACCCAGGCTTATCTTAAACTGATTTTGGTCATTTTGAAAGCGGTTTATGTACACTGAACTTCTGAGCTAAGTACAGGCAGTCAAAAAGCCTGAAGCTGAATCGATTCAGTCTTTACAGGTTAGTCTAAACTGCACAGATAAATTGAAACAGAAGTGGACAGACATTTACCTTTGATTCAGGAAATGCAGCCACATGCCTGCAGTGACTCAGGCCAGAAGCTGGGGGCCACTAGAGCACTGCTTTCTGGCTGTGTTCACTTCCTCTTCCTGCTGCCCCCCAAGTCTCTGTGATTTGCAGACTAGACACACAGCGGCAAGACTCTGCAGGGTTGCTCATCACTGCTTTCAGGTGCCTCTGGGATTTGTAGTCCATAGTTGCAGCCAGCAGTAAGTTTGAGCAGGGGAAGGGGTGTTTAGCTCCCCTCCCTGGCCCCAGCCGAGGTTTGCCATCGGGGGGCAGTATTCCCTCTGTAGACCGGGCTGCATCCCCAGCCAGGCTTTCCCCGCTCCCACCCCACTTTGTCAGCCAGCCCTCACGGCTCCAGCTAGGGAGCAGAGGGGTGGGGCCAGCCCAGATCACTGGAGCAGACAGCCCAGCCCAGCCCAGGGCTGGAAAGCATGCTGGGGGGCTGTGATTTCACTTTAACCAGGAAGGGGTTTGGGACAGAAGTTTCGTAAACAGGTTTGACCCAAATCAGTTAAGTCGGATACTGCATTTAATCAGGTTTATTTTAAACTGGTTTCAGACATTTTGAAACTGGTTTATGTGCACTGAACTTCTGTTCTGTTACAGGCTTAAACCAGTATCTGATCAGTTAAACCAGTATAGGTGTAACTTCTGTCCCTAGCACTGTTGCATAACAGATTTGAACCAGTTTCTGATCACTTACACCAGTTTATGGTGTAATTTCTGTGCCTGGCCATAGAGTCTCACAACCCAGGAGAGTTATGAGAATTCTGAAGGCCTTTCCCTTCCCCATGAGAAGTAGATACAAAAGAAGTTATAAACGGTCTTGTTTTCAGAACAGTTTGAAATCCAGAGCAAGAACAAAACAAGAATTGGGGCACAGGCTTTTATTTTCTGAATGGAAAGCGCAGAGAATTTAGTCACGTATTTTGATTGTTTACATCCACAAAACAGCAGCAGAAACTCACAAGTTCCTAACTTTTTTTTCTGTGTGTACTATTCATTTAATTGAAAATTTTCTGGTAAATAACAGGATTTTTTGCTGCATACTTACTGATAATCTAATTTTGATAAGGGAAATTATTTTGTTTGTGAAGTATCAGTAACTACTTAGCATTTCTTTAAGAGCTAACATCTGCTGTCCTCAACACTCCACTTTGGAAAGTTTTATCATGTTGTTTCATCACTTGCTGAAAAACGTACTTACACTGATATTAATGGGCAGTATATACAGCCTACTTTGTTCACTGTTACTTTCATTATAAGTCTTTTTTTTCATTGTTAAAGGGTTTTCTTTTTGCTGGCAGCCGTGATCAATTTGAAAAATAAACACAGGGAAAGTTTTGGAAGCTAAGACTTTCTGTTGGGAATGCTGTCAGAATAGGTCATTATTAGGCCTACCAGCTTTGACATCCCTTTAAACATTAGCAAGCGTGTTGTTTTTAAAAATTATTCCTTTCTACATTGTAATAATTATCTGAAATCCTAATTAAATGCATGTTTGGGAAACCTTAATTGAAAGCATTGTAAAGTAAATTTATATTGAGTATTTTCAGGTGGTTTTACCATGACTTTAGTACAGAATAGGACATTCTTTGTCAGCTTTGCAAAGCTCTAACAAAACTTTTTGCTTCATTTCTAGCAGGTATGTTAGGGCCAAGTGTGTGCAGCTCAGTGTACAGAACTGGATGTGTGCATGCACATTACTACTGCACATATGCAAAGTACTAACACGCATGGAAGAACAAATATTTAACCAATGAGCTATTAAGCACTAGTTCATGTAGCTGAGTTCATAGGTATGCATACAGTTGTATTTGTAAATTGTTAAAAATCTCTTTTAAGTACAAGAATGGTAACTTAAGACTTGCAAATCTAAGGACTGGATTTTCATTAAGCTTCTGTGAATATATCCACATTAGCATCATTTAAGTGAATATCTGTGTATCTGTATAAACACGTAATATGGTATTTAGCTAGCAATTGCATGTGCAGTTCCTAAATTTTGTCTTACACGTGAAGGTATTTGTACAGGCAGTCCTCAGACTTACGACACAATTGGTTCCTGAAAACCATGTCTTAAGTCAAAACGTTGCAACTCAGAATTGATTTTCCCATAAGAAACAGTGTTATAAATGGGGGATTGGTTCTTGAACCAAGGCCTGATACCTTATTTTCACCAAAAATACCCCAGAATTTTGTACTCAGTCAATTATAGATGAGTAATATAGCTACATTAATGTTTTTATATTGTAAATAGCAATCATATTGATTTGGAAGGACTTCTTTGAGGAGACTGCTGGACGTTTTGAAGGGCTCTTGACTGGACTTTTTGAAGGGCTCTTGGCTGGAGTCTTCTCAGGAGTCTTGGCTGCTTTCTTAAAGAAAGTGTCCAAGGAAATTTGGACAGATGTTCTCCAGGGAGATGGGTGATGCAGTGAACTTGTTCACTGGCATGGCTTGGCATCAGATCAAGTGGTGTAAAGTCATAAATTTGAAACAGGGTGTCAATTTATACGCGTTGTAAGTGTGAAACGTTGTAACTCAAAACATTGTAATTCAAGGACTGCCTGTATATGCAAGTGAGGAAATTTCACTTCTTATGATTTCATTAATAGAGAACTGCTGAAAAGTGTGACCTTATCCAGACCTTGCTGCAAGTATTTTGTTTCCATAAGATGTATTTTATATAGTATTAACCTTGAGACAAAAAGCTCTCGAGTTCCAAGGCTCTTTTTCGGTCCGTGTTGAACTGAGGGGCATGCAGTTACTTTTATGTTCACTAAGATTTTGTTCACTGCCTCTGATTTTTCAGGCAGTGGTGAAAAGCATAAAAAGCCTACTTTGCCTGTTAGGAGTTACTCATGTTTGTGTAGTTTCACTAATGTACCATTCTGTACAAGTGTGCAAGGCATCCCCAAATAAACACCTGTAGTTAGTGTTTTAAAGTGTAAATAATAGACAATGCAAATAACTCTACTTGAAAAGCTTTTGTTTCATTTCGTCTAGATTATATTATTGAGAAATATACTTGATTTTTAAATTATACATTTTTCTTTATAATGGTATACAATTGGAGGGGGGACCCCAGAAACTGCCAGAAAACATAACAAGTAGTATACTATAAGTATAAAAATAGGCAAACTAAAGTCTGTGATGCATGCATCTTTAGATGTGGCCATATGACTGCTACAGTACAAGTAGAGTGATGTAAATTTAGGACTCCATCCAGCTGTAACTTGTGACTGACTTGTGTGTTTCAAGTGAATATTTGTCCTTTAACAATTGGCTTCCTAATGCTAGAATTACCGTTATGTATCCCTTAAAGGCTACCAGTATCCTAAGAGCTACAGAAAAATGTTCTATTTTCTTGCATACCACATGGCCCTAAATAAGGTCTTGTTTTTGGAAGGTGACTGCAGAGGAAAAGGTTTTTCCAGAGTTCTGGTGGACAGCTGAATATATACAGCAGCTCGCTTGACCTCAGACAGTTCACTGGCTACTTCAGGTGAAAGCTATAGTATTAACCCTTTCACAGCTACTGCTGAATTGGCAAGTTTTTGGATGCTCAGCCAAAAGTTATTACCAAATCAGCAGCAGTTGTGAGAGAATTAAAACTGGACTCTGCCTGTGCTGCTTGACAGTCCAGAGTGAAATGGAAGTCATTACAGCATAGCCTCTCTGTTTAAGACACTCCCCCATTTTGGAGGACTGATTTTTGGGGAACAGTATGTGTGGTATGCAAATAAATATGGAATTCCAAGTGCGGTACCCATAATAGCCATAAGTTTGGCCACCTTACTGCTCTTTATGTCAAAGTGCAGCGGTTACAAAAAGGTTGAACATTTGAAGTCACTTGAAGCACAGCTGAACCCACCTGATTTTCAAGCATGTTCAGTTGTCTGCTGCACCGATGATTTTCTTAAGTTGATTAGTCTTGCATAACTGTAGCACTTAGTCACTTTTTCACGGCACACCAGTGTAGGTTATAATTTAAATTTTCCCAGGACAAATGATCCATCGACCATATTCAGTGTTCACAGTACCTGAGTGTGTGAAAGAATGGCAACATAAATATTTAAAGAAAAATAGGTTTCAAATAGTCAAGATGCAGTGGAATACTGATGTCTAAGAAGGTTGAGATAGCAGGTTTCTGATCTTGGGCAGATAACAATAAAATAAGTAGGCTTAAAATATATTTTTCTTTTCCTATTTAAAAAACTAGTCAAATGAATATCATAACACAATGGCAACATCTGCCAGGGAAATTCAAACAAAATATCCTCCCTTAGGATATTGTATGTGCCTCCAACTAAAGCTGTGTATATAATGTGAATGCCAGGAAATTCTGACATGTTATTGGAGCAAACACTTCTGAAATCTCTTGTGTTGTTCTGTTTTTAGCAACTTCACTGTGTGGTGGTTGGAAGTGAAAATGCTAAGCGATATTTTGAGGCCGTGCAAGGATCAAAGGAACATAAAGGAGAGCTTTTTGGGATCCGTAACCTTTTCAAGCTTCGGACCCACGGGTCCTGCCTTACAAAGGACATCCTGGAGGTGTGAAGTTTTCCTTCTGAATTTTAGATACTAGCTTCACATATTTTTCTTCTCTTAAAGTATTTTACTGTAAATATGAATGGAGATGCCTTGCAGAGCAGTATTGTGAAACTTAATAATACCAGTTTACACAGTGCCTTAATTAACCTTTGGCTTCTAGTTTCTCACTTCCATTCATGCCAAAAAATTCCCTGTAATTAAAAAAATGTGGAAAATGTGTCCAAATTTAGATTTGTCAAGAGATCACTGAAATCCTTTTCTGTTCTTAATAAAAAATATCACAATTGATTGCGTGATGTTTCCACTTTTGTTCAGTTATACCTGTATCTAGTTCTGTAACTTTATATTACTACAGGGCTGTCCAGAACCCCCAACCACACACTGTACAGATTACATACCCCTGAGCTTAATACTGTGGGGCCTGCACACTGTGCCATGCTGCACTGCACAGGCCCCTGACACATTAAGCAATTCCTGTCTTTACATTTATGTGTAGGTAAAGGTGTCTAACATAATGTGGGATGCATCATCTCTGAATTAAGCTTAGAACATTAAGAACTTCTTTAAATGAGTCAATCATAGTCCTTTCTAAGGAATTTAACTTCAGAATTGAAGCTTCTGTGGGATAATCTCAATCAAAGTGATGGTTTCGTGATGGCTTTTAAGCAAATCTTTAATGCCATTTTTGAATTATGTGAACATGGGAAAGATTCATATTGGGGATATGTCAACTCCAAACTGTTTTTGCAAGGCGGACAAAATGTAATCTTGACTGGTGCTGTCAATAAAGAAATTACGGTGCTTGGAAAACTTGTTCTACATGTAATGAAATTATGTGCATCTGTATAGGACTTGCTCATTGCTTAGCAGGAGTTTGAGATCACACTGCCAGTCCAGTGAGTCTTTCCATAAATAGAAATGTGGCAATTTTGAGCCTTATCTGATTGATGAATCTACTTTTGAATGTTTGCACCTAGATAGAAGGGGTATGATTTGTAAAGTTTGGTTTTCTTACCTGGTAGTATTAACACACATGCTTCCTTCTCTCTAATATAAAACATGGTTGCCTTTCATCCTTTGACTGTTTTAGAGGGAGGGAAAAGTGGAAGCTGGAGTCATGACAGCTACTACTTGGCTGAAGGAGGAGCCTCCATCATGCAAATCAGAAATGGTGAGTTGCCTTTGTGTATGTCATGCAGAATGGAGTGTGAAAGTTTCAGTTAGTATGTAGAGCAAATTATCAGAAACTAGAAACAAAAGTTAAGGGTTAACATCAAAAAGTAGTATGTTCTGACATAACCATAGCCTTTTGTTACTTTACCTTGGAATAAGAAGAAAGGTTCAGACACTGGAATGTGCTGAATCTCAGGTAATAGTCTATCAAAATGCCTTTAAAATACTCCTTAAAATATCATGAGACTAGTGGATATTTTTCCCTTTAAAACCTATTCATTTGCTGTACAACAACAAATATTGACTTGTTGAATAGCTACATTCTGAATGGGTTATTTGATAAATGGTATCTGGAACCACAAGATTGGACCTAAACTGATTTGACTTCAGTGACTCCAGGCCTGTTTATACTAAGTAAGGATCTGCCCCTTATAGTGCCTAAAACAGAATATTTAAAGTAAACATCAGTACTTTACACAAAACCTAAATAATTGGTCTCTCTCTGGGCCAGGGAATTGAGCAGGAAGCTCCATTGGTTTGGAGGTTAGCATTCCCCCAGGTCTTGAAACTGCTGAATAGGCCCATATATACAGCTATAGATAGCTATAATTAATTCTGTTTAGAGTAATGCTGGATTTAAAATTACAGCAAAATAAACTTTTCCTCTATGGAAGCATCTATCAATTTAATCCCTTGAATCTGTGAGCTTTTTATCCAGCTTCATTGTGAAGGCTTATTATTATTTATATTTGGGGTAACCAAATATGGGAATGGGATATGGTGATAGCCTATAATAGAGCTGAGTCAGAAGTGGTTATTTTGGCCTGCAATTTTTTTTTAAATGCTTTAAGGACATTTCATGAAAAACCAGAGAGAGAGAAAGTAAGATTCTCTTCAAAACAATTAGCATCCTGGGGCACTTTTACATGTGCTCTGGGGGTGGGGGTGGCCCTTTTAATTACAGTGGTTCTGAGAGCTGCTGTAATTAAAGCACCGCAGCATGTCATGTATCAACATCCTCACTCTTCAAAATGGTGGCAGGGGCTCTTGAACTAAAACTCATTTGATGAGCTTTAGTTCAAGCGCCCCCACCGCCATTTTGAAGTGCAAGGATGCTGATACACAAGACATGGGAGGCTGCTGGAGCACAGTAATTACCGTGCTCCAGCTGGCTTGATCAGTCAAGTCTGCTCTGATGCACTGTAATTGCAGCGTGTTGGAGCAGGCTCTGTGTTCATGTACAAGCACCCCTGGTGTTTGGAACAGACTCGGATTCAGTCAAAATCAAGTAGATAAGAACTTTAAAACTATTCTCATCTCCCTTAACCCGAGTGAGTCTTCCGTTTACAAGCTTTTGGCTCTTGGGTGGGTTTCTTTCTGTTTTTGACCAAAAGTTTCATTCTGGACCTGAGAGACCTATTAAGAGTTTTATAAACAACCCAGTAAGAATTTTATAAAAACTGATACATTTTCACAGAAGCTTTGGTTCTAATTAATCATTCAGGGCTTAGGGTTTAAGAAATTTCTCAGCTAGCTCTTGAAGATAATTCTGATAGAAACAAAGACAAATAATTGTGCCCCACAGAGTTGAAATGCTGGTTGTTCACAATCTTAGGTCTCATCTTCTTGGGAATGTTTTTGGTGTAACTGGAGGTGTGAATTTAAATGGCTTATTGCTGTATCAATTTATCCTCCATTTTCGATGTGGATGTAATTGTAGATGTGTTTGTGGGATTTTTTTGTTTATAATGTTAAGTGAAAATCTACTCTTCTAGTGAAATAAATATGTCCACAGATGGGGTTGTACCTTGTTAATTACTTGTATGACTGGAAGTATGTTTCCATGTAGACAAGACCGTAATTTTTTACCCTTCTGTTTTGATCTTCCATATACACCTTGAATTTTGTCTGCACGTAATATATACAGTTCAGTTCCTGGTTGTTTTTTTTTTTAAACTTCTGTAGCTTCAAAATACTTTGTACTTGTTTAAATGATAATTGTTTGTGTGTTTGGCTATACTGGACCTGAAGCAGTTCTAGAGAAGAAGGTTGTTTGTAATCCCTGCTCTTTTAAACTGTTTTAAGTAGGAGCTTTGGCTGCCATATCTTAAGAGGTTGACCACCCTGTTGTTTGTTTTCTTTTAAAATGATTTTATTATACAGTATTTTGCACAGTTGAATTATCTTTCAGGCTAAACAACTTAACCATTAGAAGTTTGCACCAAAATGAATGATTTTGAAACATAAATCCAATAGTATGTTCATTGGACAAATGCAGATTGTTCACTAACAGCCACATTGTAGACAGCATGTATTGCTATATTTGTAGGAAAAAATATATTAATGTTCACTGTTTGTCATAACCTGTATGCAATATTTTGTTGAAATTTTCTCTTTACTTACTACCTGTTTATTGTATATACTCTTTAGTCACTTTGTATAGATTGAATTCTATAATTAAATGAAGTCCCAGTTCCTGAATTAATATCTATTTTTTCTATAACAATGTCTAATTTTGAATCTTTAAGTAATTTGTTTTATTTATAATTTAACTTGTCTGACAGTTATTTTCAATATTTTTAGCATGCAGAACCAGGTTATGAAGAAGATAAAGATCCTGTCAGACCTCAGGAACAATTGGTGAAAGAAGAATTTGATTTTTCAAGTGAAGGTAGTGGTGATGAACTTAAGGGAAATTCAAGGAAAAAAGCAGACAAAAACAATGGAAGTAACACAAATCCACAGGGGCAACTTACATTAATGCAATGCGGTTTCTCTAACTTGTTAGAGAGAGAAATTAAAACCACCCTGGAAAGAGATCATTCTAGTGGTTCTGATCATTCAAGTTCTGACTGTCCGTCTGTGAGACAGAGATTGAATGTAAATGGCAAGTGTGCTGGTCTTCAGAAAACTCAGAGTCATAACCATATTTTAGAGCAGTGGAAAACCACAAAGTCATGGAATAGTAGCGAAAAACCAGATATACAGAGTTTGACTATACCTGCAGATTTGCTTGTTTTGTCGGCCTCTGAGGATGAAAGGGACATGGAAAGTAAAAATAAGGAACAGTGCATTTCAAAGCAGGTTGCTATAGTCATGGAGACTGAAGGCAGCTCAGAAGAGAGTAATGATATCATCTTTCCTTCCCATGTTCCAGCTCATCAGGCACCTGTTTCTGCTAAAAGTTTTAATAAATATGAGCCCCTTTCAGGAAAATCTGAAGGGTCAGATACCAAAAATAACACCATTCTTGCATCTAAGGGAGATTGTCAGCAGTCTCTGAACCATAATACCTGGTCAGCCTTCAGAAAAACAAACTCTTTGAAACATGCCCAAGAGACGACAACAGATATACAGGGTACAAGTGATATTAGTGATGAGTCTGATGATATTGAAATGTTCCTACAGTCCAAACCAAGAAACCTAAGAGATGTTAGCTCCTTCAAGTGGAAAAAAAAGTGTAATCTAAACAAGGGATTTGGTAACTCTTCCAAAACCATGCTGCAAGTAAAGACAACAGGCAAACTAGAAAAGGAAAGTGATTCACAGACTATAGATGAATTTTCATCTTCTGAAGATAATTTACCAGTTGAGAGAGCTCACTTCACTAAGCAAAGCCATAGGCGCAAAACTCGGAGGTACAGAATTCCTTTTGAATCTAAATCATCCTGTCAAATTAAAGGTGCTTCTGTTACACCGGTGAAACCCAGTCACTTCCATAGCCCCAAGACTGCTATATGTAAGGAAGCAAGTGCCAGACAGGAGGAACAAGGAGGCTCACTGGACAGATATTTCGGTGAGGATTAATTTATTTTTGGGGATTCTATTTGTTGGTATTTGCTTCATTCAGAATAGTCAGAAATTCAAGATGGAGTGATATTGCACATAAACGAAAGTTTTAGGTCACTTATTTATATTTGTTCTATTGAGAGTTTTTCAGTATTGTTCTACCCTTTTATAGTCTTATTGATTTTTTTACTGGTTAGCCTGTCCTTTTGTTTCTTCTCATTTGGTGGGGCACTGCAATACCTTTTTATCTCTTATTTTCCTAAACATTTGCAGTTGCTGCAAAAAATATATATTATTAAGAATTACGATGCATTTATGTCGAAGTCAGAAATGTTAAACCTAAAGTTTAGACGGCAATGTTGTTTTTCTTTTTTATACTACATGATTAGTTCTTTGTGTCACTCATTATAGTGTGAATCTGCACTGGCACTGGCAGTATAGTACAGGACTGTCCAACTTCCAGCCCGTGGGCTCCCACTCAGTTGCCCA